AAGTCAAAGAAGATTGAACCCAAACATGAAGGAAGTGGTCAGGGCAGAGATACTCAAGTTATTGGATGCAGGAATTATCTACCTAATTTCAAATAGTGCATGGATCAGCCCTGTTCAAGTGGTACTGAAAAAAGGGAGAATCACAGTGGTGAAAAATGAGAAGAATGAACTAATTCCCACCAGAATAGTTACGGGTTGGAGAGTTTGCATTGACTATCACAAACTGAATGCAGCTACACGAAAGGATCACTTCCCACTCCCATTCATTGATCAGATATTGGAGAGATTGGTTGGACATTCACACTACTGCTTTCTTGATGGATATTCGGGCTATAATCAGATACCTGTCGCACCAGAGGATCAGGAGAAGACCACTTTCACTTGCCCCTATGATACTTTTGCTTATCGTAGGATGCCTTTTGGTCTTTGCAATGCTCCAACCACATTTCAGAGGTGTATGATGGCAATATTCTCTGATATGATTGAAAGGTTTATCGAGGTTTTCATGGACGACTTCTCAGTATTTGGATCTTCATTTGATGAATGTCTAAACCACTTGAATTTGGTCTTACAGAGATGCAAGGAGACTAACCTGGTTTTAAATTGGGAAAAATGTCACTTTATGGTGCAGGAAGGCATTGTACTTGGGCATAGGATATCGACAAAAGGAATTGAGGTAGACAAGGCAAAAATTCAAGTGATTGAGAAATTACCACCGCCTACATCAGTTAAAGAAGTTCGTAATTTTTAGGGGCACGCTGGGTTCTACCGGAGGTTTGTAAAAGATTTCTCGAAGATCACTAAACCTTTGTGCAATTTGCTAATGAAAGATGTAACCTTTGAGTTCAATGAGGATTGTCTCACAGCCTTCAACACTTTAAAGGAAAAGCTTACGACAGCACCAGTAATTGTAGCACCAGACTGGGAATTGCCTTTTGAATTGATGTGTAATGCAAGTGATCACGCTGTAGGTGCAGTATTGGGACAACGGAGGAACAAGATTTTTCATGTGATCTACTATGCAAGCAGAACTCTAAATGATGCACAAATAAATTATGCAACCACTGAAAAGGAGCTATTGGCTGTGATATTTGCATTCGACAAATTCAGGTCATACCTCGTCGGGTCTAAAGTCATCGTCTATACTGATCATGCTGCATTGAAGTATCTGCTCACAAAGAAGGATGCAAAGCCGAGATTAATTCGTTAGGTGCTGTTGTTGTAAGAATTTGATATTGAGATACGCGACAAGAAGGGCACCAAGAACGTAGTATCAGATCACCTATCCCGACTAGAACCTGGGGAGAAGGAAGATTTAGTGGATATAAATGAGATCTTCCCGGATGAACATGTTGAGAGTGGATGAAGCACCTTGGTACGCAGATATTGTCAATTACTTGGCCAGTTCCATTCCACCGCCTGACTGCTCCAGTCACCAAAGAAAAAAATTCTTCGCCGAGTTAAAATATTATTTCTGGGAGGATCCAATTCTCTATAGGCGAGGAGCTGATCAGATAGTGAGGAGATGCGTACCTGAAGAAGAAGTACATGAGATTCTCGAGCACTGTCACTCATCCCCATATGCAGGACACTTTGGAGCTTCAAAAATAGCTGCAAAGATTCTACAATCCGGGTTCTACTGGCCTACACTGTTTAGAGACACATTTGAATTTGTCAAGAGGTGTGACCGATGTCAACGCACTGGGAATATTTCGAGGAGGAATGAAATGCCACTAAACAACATTTTGGAAGTGGAAATATTTGATGTTTAGGGAATTGACTTCATGGGACCTTTCCTCACTTCATTCTCAAACCAGTATATTTTGGTAGCAGTGGATTACGTATCAAAATGGGTGGAAGCAGTTGCACTGCCAACAAATGACTCAAAGGCAGTAATTGGATTTCTGAAGAAATATATTTTCACTCGATATGGCACACCGCGAGCTATAATCAGTGACGGGGGTAAACACTTCTGTAATCGCCAGTTTGAGCAGATGTTAAATAAATATGGTGTTAAACACCGTCTCGCTACCCCGTATCATCTATAAACTAGCGGGCAAGTTGAAGTGTCTAATCGGAAGTTGAAAAGGATACTCGAAGTCACAGTGAACTCATCTAGAAAAGACTGGTCTAAAAAGCTAGACGATGCAATGTGGGCTTACAGAACAGCATTCAAGACACCGATAGGCATGTCTCCATATCGCCTAGTTTTTGGGAAAGCATGCCATCTGCCATTAGAAATGGAGCACCGGGCATATTGGGCTATGAAACAGTTAAATATGGACTTGAATGCCACCGGTGAAAAGCGTCTACTGCAACTGAATGAGTTGGATGAATTTAGAATGGAGGCTTATGAAAATGCAAAACTTTACAAGGAGCGAACCAAAAAGTGGCATGATATGCACATTCAGAGGCGAGTATTCGAAGTGGGGCAGCAAGTACTACTATATAACTCGAGACTCAAGCTATTCCCAGGAAAACTACGATCACGGTGGTCGGGTCCCTACACAGTTACAAAAGTCCTACCATATGGGGCTATACAAGTGGGCCATGAGACTAAGGGTACTTTCACTGTTAATGGGGAAAGGTTGAAACATTACTGGGGTGGTGACTTCTCTAACCAAAAGTCAACCTTTCAACTCGAGACGCCAGAATGAAGCAGCTGCAGAAAAGTCGAGCTATCGACTATAACTTAGCGCTGGGTGGGAGGCAACCCACTGTATCCTTTTTATCTATTTATTTACTTTATTATGCTTACTGCATTAGATTAGGAAGTTTATTTTCAAATTCATTTAGTATTTTGTTATGTGGTCATCGATCATCTAGGCATGTTAAAAGAGTCCAAACACTGTTTACACGAGTCCTTAAATATCACACACGAGTTCGGGTTGATTTGAGTTGTTTGGGTAGTTGAGTGTAGAATTCACGCATTTTGAGGCAAATTATGTTTTCTAAATTTCACATGTCAATGTTTTAAAAGTATGTCTTTGAAAAATTGGGGACGTTGAGAGCCTAGTCATTTATTAAAAAAAAAATTTGGACAAAAATCGAATTTTTGGGGAAAGCAGTATTGTTTTATTTTATTTTATTTCTTTTAAAAAAAACAAAAAAAAAATTTAAAAAAAAAAGTGTCTATACGATCGCATAGACACCAACCGAAAGAAAAAGTTAAAAAAAAATATAACTATGCGACCGCATATCTTTTAACTATGCTGCCGCATAGAAGTGGATCGGCCATGGTTAAAGCCATGACCGATTCACTTTTCATTCACACTCTCACTCTCCCAATTCACGAACACGAGCAGCTAGGGCAACAATTCCTCAAATAATTTTACTAATTTCACATCTCAATTACTTCTACATTATCCCTCAATCGAATTATATTTCGACACCCATCCCTTCACGCATAAAATCACTCCATTCTTCGACATTTTTAGGGCCCGGGACCCCCATTTCACACATAAACCCATGAAATTCATAATCACCTCGGCATAAATTCATCAAGGCAAGCATCCATTTCAAGCACATCGTCTTGAAGGTATGACTTTTGACAACCTCCTTCCTTATGCCTTGTTTGTTTAGGTCATTTTCGATTTGTTTTTCTACAATTTGAGGTGATTGGGGGCGTAGATGGTGGATGGAGTGTACTATTTGAAATTCAATTGTGTTATGGGTTAATTCGAATTTTGAAGTATTGGGTTTTATATGGACTTGTAAAGAATGCATGCTAAGTGTTTGATACATTGCCACATTGATAATTTGTGGGCATTTTGGTACCTGTTGCATTGACTTTATTTGATTGATGAATGTGTATGAGATTGGTAATTGATTTTTGAATGGGGAGCCACGTGACATAGTAATTTTTGGCAAATGTATGAAGATTTCATAGTGCCCACAACTTGTTCGATAAAATGCCCATTTTTGGTAATCTAATACAATTCTAAACATCTAGCATGGCATATGACTATTAGATGAATGGAATAACCCGTTGTGATGTATTACCGACCAATGTGACTTAGACAACATCAACACACATGCACACAAAATAGCTAAGTCATTGCATGTCACAGCAGCTCACGTCCCTTATTTTACACTACCATTTGACACACCAAACGAACTCCGATTGAGCTAAAATTTGGGTATGTGCTAGACCTCATTGCATACTTTCATATGCCCAGAGGTTGCTTGGGACAATCTTGATAATTCTCGATGGTGACCGGGGTCGAATGTGTATACTCAATCATGACTCCAACCCTTTCACTATGAGCATGTTCACCCAAATTTTCTTAGTTTTCGTATGGGCTATACATTTATACTATTCTAATCATCATACGTTGTTCATTACACACCGTGGTAGTATACATGCATATTGAAACAAGTTTAGGGGATTTGTGAATTACGTGCTTTTCATTTCATGCGATTTCTCGCTGTACAACAAGATGTTTAATGCTAGCTATTTTCCAACTTTGCAGGATGCCACCAAAACGAACTTCAAAAGGGAAAGAAAAGGTTGGCTCATCATCCGGCATAGCACGTATTTGAGTGCTTGAAGGAGGGATACAGATATTTTTGACTTCCAAGGCAGCAGCCCGATATGAAAATATAGTGAGTCAATGGACAGTGACACCAGAGCGGGCTGTTAATTTGGAAGACTTTCCTGATTTCGAGCTGACCACTTTGGTGCATAACTGTGGATGGGGTAAAGTAGTAGAGCAGCCACATCGGATTTATGAATTGTTGATAGGGGAATTTTACGCCAACTTCAATACAGAAATTGACACACCAGGGTCCGACCACCTGCATCAGACTTGGGTCAGGGGAAAATGGATCACATTCTCACCCGAGGTTATTCAAGACTACTACCAGCTCACGTGGGACAACATAACCCCTATCCCAGGTGATTTCAATTGGCATGAAGTGGCGGAGATTTTATTGGGACGACAAAATGCATGGCCATTCCCCACCATCGAGTGGCACCAGATTGAGCTGACACCGTCTATAGCCATCATGTGGTTGTTTATGTGCCACAACATTGAGCTGACCTCTCACAGGACCACATTCACAGATCCCACAGCTGGATTCCTTTATCACTTGGTGCGAGGTAATAAGGTTGATCTTGCCACTCTCTGCTATAATCAGATCCATCATGTGGGTACCTTGGGAGACAGGCACAGCTCAATGATCTTTCCAAGCCTCATCTCCGGAATATGCATAACTGCTGGTATAAACATTGCATTCGGGGAAGTGGCTGCCAAACCCAGCCCCATCATAAAGCGCAGTACCTTGGAGGCTCAAGACAGAGCCAGGATAAAGCACTGGGAAAAGCAAGAAATTGAACGGTGCAGACAGCAGGAAGAGCAAGGTGACGAGCACGCAGAGCAAGAGATGCCTCAAGCTCCACCACCACAGGTTGAGATAAATGCACAGTTGTGGTGCCAGATTTTCACCACCACCACGGGAACCAGCCGAGACGTACAGAGTCTCCAGTAGGCTATGGGGACTTTGACGATTGAGATGCATACAGCCCACCGTGACATTCGCATTTCCACTGATATGTCACGTGCTGCTCGCCAGGATGCCCAGGCAGCTAGGAGAGAGATGGAAACTATGAACGGTCAACTCAGTGTGTATGTGGGCAGGGTGGATAGCATCCAGATGAGGGTAAATGAAACTTGGGAGCGTCTAGACCGTTTGGAAATACGTGTTGAGGGAATCCATGATGAAATGACACAGCAGTCAGCACTGATGAGGGAGATCTTGGCGCGCCTACCTCAACCTCCAGCTGATGGTACTGCAGGTTCTAGCTTCCCATCGCAACCTCCGTATTGATCAAGGGAGTATCGTTTGCCTCATTTGTAGTCATTTTCTTTAAATTCTGCCATCTAAACTTTGATTTTCGCATTGAGGACAATGTCTTGTATAAGTTTGGGGGATGGTGGCATAATTTGAAAAAGACATTCGGCATGTAATTAATTGCAGTTCCACAATCCAGATTTAATTTGACTAGTTGTTGCATGATGCATGCTTGTGAGTGAATATTGATTATGCTTATGTATGCTTGTGTGAGCTTAATCGCCTTGCCGGCTATGATGTTACTATTGGATTGGTATATTTCAAAACTTTGGAGTCGATGTTAATTAGGCCAACTAATACTTGTTGATGTAATACTTGACATTCTTTATGCACGTCATTCATGCTTTACATGTTAGG